TGGGGAAAAAAGGGAGCCCTGAACGTCGCTTGGAACGCGACGGAGCGACGCTCTGCCCTGGCCCAGGCTGCGCTCGAGCTGTTCACGCCTTTCTGCAGGACGTGCTGACCCTGTCGAGCAGCACGGACAGCGAGGGCGAGAACGGGCAGGCGGTGGCGGGGCAGGCCCAGGGCACCACCAACGACAGCGACGACATCCAGACCATTTCCTCGGGCTCCGAGGAGGAGGAAGGGGACGACAAGAAAAACCCCTCGTCGGGGTCAGGTGAGGACAGCTGCTGGGGCAGCAACGGGGGCCGAGTACAGCAAGCAGTTTGGGCCAGAAGCCGCCGGGAAGGGCTGATGAGGACGTAGCAGCTGTGAGCGTGGTGCGTCCTGCGCCAGGCACCCCTGAGCTGTGTCTAACGACCGAGGTCTGACACTTCCCCACGTGTTGCGTGAGACGTAACCGCAAAACCCAGGCCTCGAGTACCAGATATTTGTGGATAGCCAAGAAAAAGCAACTGAGAGACTCACGGTGGGTCTCCAGGCTTCGCTGGGTCGAGCGGAGAGCTGGGAGAGTGCCAGGAGCCATCCCCGGGGGGTGGTTTCGTTCTGAGCTGCGTCCCTGAGGGATCTCTTACCCCTGGGTGAAAGAGGAGAGCGCCTTGGGCCAGCAGCGCTGCTGTGGGGTTCCTCTTCTGGAAGATGGAGAGAAAAACGCGGCGGTGTTTGTCCTTCTCTGGCGGCAGGTCCCGTGAAGAGGCAGGTGGCGGTGAAATCCACCCGCGGCTTTGCCCTGAAATCAACTCACGGGATCGCCATCAAGTCAACCAACATGGCAGCGGCCGAGAAGGGGGAGAGCGCGCCCATCCGCAGAACCACCCGCCAGTTCTACGACGGAGAGGAGTCCTGTTACATCATCGACGCCAAGCTGGAAGGGAACCTGGGCCGGTACCTCAACGTGAGTTGCTGCCCTTGGCAGGGGACGGAAGGGGAACGGCCCTCAGCAGCTGAGGAGGGAAAGGGACGTATTTGGGGTGACCTGTCCTTTCAGCGGGCCTGTTCCTCCCCAGGACTAGATAAATACAGTAAAAAAAAAAAGCGGGACAAGAGCCGGCCTGGGAGGCCGATCCGCCCCCGCGAGTGAAATAGGGCGGCTGCTCCGGCCCCGTGACGCGCGGGCAGCGGGACGGCCGAGCCGGGCCTTCCAGCGACCATTACCTTTGCGAGGGTGGATCTCGTGACTCACGCCTGGTTGTGCGGGCAGGGGAGGGAGCGTGTCCTGTTCCAGCAGGCTTACGCTGGATGCAGCAGACAAATCGGGAATGCTGCTTGTTTATAAAGGCTTGTGTTTACTGCTGGCTGCTCTGCACCCCTCCTGACGCAGGAAGGCGCTCACTGTGTTTGTCTCCGCTCCCGTACAGCATAGCTGCAGTCCTAACCTCTTCGTGCAGAACGTCTTTGTGGACACGCACGACCTCCGCTTCCCCTGGGTCGCCTTCTTCGCCAGCAAGTGAGTCACGGCGCGCGTGGGGAAGGGCTGCCCGTTCACGGGGCTTGGTCGGACCCGGCTCCTTGGCCGGGGCTGCGTGACCCGCGCGGGCCGGGCGTTTCCTCCTCCTGGTAACCCCGGTCCCCAGTTTCGCACCAGCCGGAACAGGGAGGAGCTCGGAGCTGAGTGGGGTGAGGAACTCTCTTCTCTGCTGGAGATTCTGGGGCGATTTGCATCGGTTTTAGACCTTTCCAGAGGGGAGAGCGGAGCACGGAGCAGCCGGCTGCCCGGCTCGTTTGAGTCGCGACCCTTGCGGGCAGCGCGGGGCGGTGGGGGATCCCCGCCACGTGCCTCCAGGGCACCACGAGCGCGGCGCCTCCTCTGCGAAGCCCCGCGGGAGTAATTCAGCGGGGAACTTTGTCCCCTCGCTCGCCGTGGAGCCAAAGGCAGCCGCGCCGGCTGCTTCACCCTTGGCCCCAGGGGATGCCGGGCTGCACCGCCCTGGCCAGAGAGGTCACACATAAGCGTCGCTCTCTGCTAGCGGGGGGTCCAGCGTCGCCTCCTTTTTGGCGTGGCCTCTTCTCCCAGCCTGTGCTTTCCGATTTCCCAGGAGGATACGAGCCGGCACGGAGCTGACCTGGGATTACAACTACGAAGTGGGCAGCGTGGAAGGCAAAGAGCTGCTGTGCTGCTGCGGGGCGATCGAGTGCCGAGGGCGGCTGCTGTGAGCCCGCCCCTGCTCCCGCCGCATCCCTCTTGACCGCAGGCCTGGTGCTGACTTTCCCTTTGTGAGGGTAAAGTTTCTTCTCGCGAGGTGGTTGTTTAATAGTAACCGTTAACGAAGCCGAGAACGGCGGCTTCGAGTTCTCCCGTTCACTTGAAAATCACAGCGGCAGATGGACACGGAACAGAAACGTAACCTGGCGTGGGTGGCGGCGGGCGAAGCCCAAACCCGACGCCGCGAGCTTTGCTTCTCCCGCGTCCCGGGGGCTACGGTCGCCCCGCGGGAGGACAGGCTCTGCCTCGGCGCCGCAGGAAAGGCCGTTAGCCGAGCCGGTACCTGCCCGGGCTGCTGGCAAGCGGCCGTTCCTGCTCTCTTCCAGCTCTCCACCAAATGTCAGACGCAAATCCCTGGGCAGCTACGGCTCACGCTGGTGTCGCTGCCAGTTTTCCAGCAGGAAACGCTGCACCGAGGCTCCGGGGAAGCGCTGCACGGTCGGGACCGAGCTGCCGATGTCCCTGCAGCCGGGGGACCGGACTGGGAGGGAGCGAGGGCGGTAGAGACGGGCCCGGCGAGAGCGGACCACGCTGGATTTATAGCGGTGACGTGAATTTAAGTGAAAAA